GCATTTGAGGCCCTCAAGCAGGCCCTCGCCAGCTTGCCTGTCCTCAGAACCCCCAACTTCTCCTTGCCCTTCATCAACCCCTGCTGAGCAGAAGTATGCCGCTGTGGAATGAGAAGCCCTCGCAGTGAAGTGGGCCATAGAGGAGCTACAGTACTACCTGGCAGTGCGCCACTTCACCCTAGTCACCAACCATTCTGCCCTGCAGTGGATGGCCTGGGCAAAAGACATGAATGTCAGATTAACCTGTTGGTTCCTCTCGTTACAAAACTTCTCGTTTCCAGTCCAGGACTGTGTTGGGGCCCAACATGGAAATGCCGATGCCCTCTCCAGAATACATTCCCTCTGGACCAAACTTTCACCAGCAATAGGCTCAGAGCTGAGGTGGAGGGGTAATGTGACCCTGTTTGTTTTGGACAGCAAAGGAGAGTGTGGTTGCAAGGCGGGGTGGCATAGACACACATGGCTGCAAGCTAATGAGTGGAGTGGCTTCTCCTCACTGTCCTGCAGAAGACAGCAGACTATAAAAGGAAGCAGCAGGGACAGTGAGGTGAGTTTGTTCTCCACAGGCATACCTGTTAATACATGTCTTTATCTCTCTCGCACCACAGAACCAGATGCCGGAGAAGAAGCTCCCTGGTTGCACTGCACCAATCGCCATTATCCTCGGCCTGCTCCTCAACTCCTGGGTTCTGCCTCACGGCTGCTCCAGCTTGCTAATCACTCCCCATGTTGGGAAGATAGCAACCCCTACCTCCACTCCAATCCCCTCTGCACCAACGACCTTCGTACATCCAGAATTTCCTTTAAAAGAGTACATTTCTCATGCTATTTTGTCTCCAGCGTATCTGTGTTCTGCCTGTCCTGACCTAGGGAGGTCACACAAGCTTTTATCTGTATGTTTGTGTGTGTGTGTGTGTGTGTGTGTGTGTGTAAATTCCTCATTTTCCTTTCTAGACACTGTAATACCAATACACATCAGAGCCCAAGCTTACACATTGCTTCTTATCCATAATGGACAGCAGGTGTCATCACTTTGTCCCTGTTCAGGCTCCACAAAAGCTGATATGTCCTGCTCTGAACTTTCACCTTCCTGCTGTACTGTCATGCCCTCCTCCACCTCATCTCGTGACAGAATTGTGGATGGGAATTCAGGTGTAGAGCTAAGTAAAATATTTTTTTGCCTCACTTAGCCCTCTGGTTTCTGAAGAATGGAAATTGGTTCAAAACAGAAGTTATTAAGTCCTGGTATCCACTACAAAGGACACTGAATAAAAGTTGTTTTGAAAGGGTTATAATTACTGTACATTTCTGAAATTTTACTATATTGAAGGCAAGAATCTCATGTTGAAGAAACAATTTGATTTGTAGTCTGAGAAACATAATATCTGTAAAACATTGACCACTAACCTCTGGACTGGACTGGACCAGGGTGTACCCCGCCTTGTGCCCGATGCTCCCTGGGATAGGCTTGAGGTTCCCCGCGACCCTGAGAAAGGAGTAAGTGGTAGAAGATTGATGGATGGATGGTTGTGTATATGCATGAAGTGCGTGAATTGTTACTACAATGTCATGTAAGGGATGTGAAGATGGATGAATAGTGCAGAATAAATGAGAAAAAATAAATAAATAAAACAAATAACAAATAAACCCTAGAAATACCAGAAACCTAAGCTATGAATACAAGGCATAAACAAGACAATGAAATTGTAAGGGTACCGCCGGCAGATAGCGCTGTGGCAACAACATGTGCACGTGATTGAAGTGCGCATGGATGCTAAAGCTGGGTTAAGTGTCGCCAGCTGTTGGCAATCAAGAGACTGTCTACTTAAACCCCTCGCATTGCTGCGCACATCGCGCGGTATTAAACTAAAGTGTTGTAGTCAAGTCACGTCTTAACAGAGAAGATGATGGAATGTATAATGGTGCCAGGTTGTGATATTGCCATGCTCTGTCTCTTTTCCTGTTCCTTAGTTTATACCCTGTCCTAGTTGAGTGTTTGTATCCAGTCCAAGTTACAGTGGTGTGAAAAAGTGTTTGCCCCCTTCCTCATTTCCTGTTCCTTTGCATGTTTGTCACACTTAAGTGTTTCGGAACATCAAACCAATTTAAACAATAGTCAAGGACAACACAAGTAAACACAAAATGCAATTTGTAAATGAAGGTGTTTATTATTAAAGGTGAAAAAAAATCCAAACCATCATGGCCCTGTGTGAAAAAGTGTTTGCCCCCCTTGTTAAAACATACTATAACTGTGGTTGTCCACACCTGAGTTCAATTTCTCTAGCCACACCCAGGCCTGATTATTGCCACACCTGTTCACAATCAAGGCATCACTTAAATAGGAGCTGCTTGACACAGTAAGGTCCACCAGAAGATCCTTAAAAGCTACACATCATGCCGAGAGCCAAAGAAATTCAGGAACAATTGAGAAAGAAAGTAATTGAGATCTATCAGTCTGGAAAGGGTTATAAAGCCATTTCCAAAGCTTTGGGAATCCAGCGAACCACAGTGAGAGCCATTATCCACAAATGACGAAGACATGGAACAGTGGTGAACCTTCCCAGGAGTGGCCGGCCGCCCAAAATTACCCCAAGAGCGCCGAGCGACAACTCATCAAGAGTTCCCCAAAAGACCCCACAACAACGTCCAATGAACTGCAGGCCTCACTTGCCTCAGTTAAGGTCAGCGTTCATGCCTCCACCATCAGGAAAAGACTGGGCAAAAATGGCCTGCATGGCAGAGTTCCAAGGAGAAAACCATTGCTGAGAAAAAAGAACATCAAAGCTCGTCTCAATTTCTCCACAACACATCTTGATGATCCCCAAGACTTTTGGGACAACATTCTGTGGACCGATGAGACAAAAGTGGAACTCTTTGGAAGGTGTGTGTCCAAGTATATCTGGCGTAGAAGGAACACTGCATTTCATAAAAAGAACATTATACCAACAGTAAAATATGGTGGTGGTAGTGTGATGGTCTGGGGCTGTTTTGTTGCTTCAGGACCTGGAAGACTTGCCGTGATAAAAGGAACTATGAATTCTGCTGTCTACCAGGAGATCCTGAAGGAGAATGTCCGACCATCTGTTCGTGTACTCAAGCTGAAACGAACTTGGGTTCTGCAGCAGGACAATGATCCTAAACATACCAGCAAGTCCACCACCGAATGGCTGAAGAAAAACAAAATGAAGACTTTGGAGTGGCCTAGCCAAAGTCCTGACCTGAATCCTATTGAGATGTTGTGGTATGACCTTAAAAAGGCCGTTCATGCTCGAAAACCCTCTAATGTAACTGAATTAGGACAATTCTGCAAAGATGAGTGGGCCAAAATTCCTCCAGGACGCTGTAAAAGCCTCATTGCACGTTATCGCAAACGCTTGGTTGCAGTTATTGCTGCTAAGGGTGGCCCAACCAGTTATTAGGTTTAGGGGGCAATCACTTTTTTTTCCACAGGGCCATGATGGTTTGGATTTTTTTCACCTTTAATAATAAACACCTTCATTTACAAATTGCATTTTGTGTTTACTTGTGTTGTCCTTGACTATTGTTTAAATTGGTTTGATGTTCCGAAACACTTAAGTGTGACAAACATGCAAAGGAACAGGAAATGAGGAAAGGGGCAAACACTTTTTCACACCACTGTATATGAGATGTTCCTGTTCTAGTTACATGAGAGGTTCCTGTTCTGGGTAGATGTGTTCTTGCCATTGTTAGATGATTGTTTCCTGTTTTGTTTATAGTTAAAGGAGAACTGTTTGAGTTAAGTTTCATGCCCTTTGCTTGAGTTAGTGTTGTGTTTAGATCTGGTTTCCTGCCTCCTTGTGTGGTTATTTAAGCAGCACAATAAAGACAGCTCATCTGCTTCCTGTCTCCAAGCCCTGTTTCGTAACAGAAATTAGAGCAAGGAGAGACAAAAGAAAGACAGTGTGAGGGGTAAGGCATAAATTATATACTAGTGCTTCTTAACCAAAAGATGTGAAATAGGTGCAAGTGTCCAGCTGTCATGCGCCCATGGTGTGCAATGGTTGCTGGGATATGTAGTCAAGTCCTGACTACACAAAATCCAATTACATTTTGTGCTGTTTAACTCACTGCATGAACATGCACATGCCCAACAGCTCCAGCAGATCTCTACTGCTCAGGATCAGCTCATAAGGAATTGCTTAGAAAATGCTACCAGACCAGCTCCTACCCCAGTAAATCGTGAATCCTCTAGTACAACTTCCAAAAACAGAATCAATAATTCCTAATCTCCCTGTAGCAATACAAGGCAAATGCAAGGGTTTCTTAATGCTGTGAACATGACTTTTAAGATGTATTCCATCACCTGGTGTCCAGAAAGCAGCCTGAAGAGCTCCTAACATTTTCACCAGGAAAACTGCTTGCATCAAACTATGCACTAATATTTGATAATCATTGTAGAAAGATGATAGGATGAGCAAACATTAAAAACTGCATTCTGTCATTAATATACAGTATTTGGTCCTAATGAAGCCAAGACCTACAACCACAGGGTCCTAATCCCAGCCTTGCAATAAATGGCTTGCTTACTTTAGTATTTCGTCTGAACAATCATACAAATCTTAACAATAATACTGTAACAAACTGTAATGTGAGGCAAGGGGGAGGCAGGAACTAGCTAAACATAAACATAACCATTAATAATAAACCAACATAAAATAAACACAAATGGAACATAAAATGCACGTGTGTCTGTCTGTCTCCCTCTCTCTCCCTCACACTTCCAGCTGCTCCTTAATCTCTCTCTTGCCCACTGATTAGCCAAGTCTGTGCCAGGTGTGTATCCTCACAACTTGGCTTCTCCCTCCTTGTCACAAAAAAACTTTTCTTTTTTTTTCTTCCAATACTGTAACATGAAATATCCATCCATCTATCTATTCTCCAATCAACCTACAATGCATGTCTTTGAACTGGGGAAGAAACCAGAGTACATGGAGGAAACCCCTGAGGTACAGGGTGAACATGCAAGCTCCATGCACACAAGGCCTAGGGGGGATTCAAACCCCCAACCTCAGTGATATGAGGCAAACATGCTAACCACTAAATCACAATGCCCCCCCACAGTGAAATATTTCCAACTGAATATATCATTAAGCAGCACTGTCCTGCATGTTGATTTGTCTCGTTTGCCTCCAAGCTGATATCTGATTGATGAAACCATGTTTGATGTAACATCACTTTTCTAAAAAAGTGGAATGTTCCTCTTTAACTTTTAGAAGAGCTTCAAAGTGATAGGATCACATTCTGCCTTCTTCACATAAGATTACATATGGAACTTGCACAGGGAAAAATGTATAATGCAAAAGCAGCCTAAGGTTTCTAAGCTTGTTAAAAGACACACACACACACGCACACACACAAAGCAGCCTAAGGTTTCTGAGCCTGTTAAGACATATACACACAAACTTACTTGCCATGTCCAGCCTCACACAAGAGATGGAGCAGGAAATGAGGGGAAAAAAATGACAAATATACATATATTAAATGTCAAATATACATATATTAAATTAAATCTAATCTGATCAGTCCACATCACTGAACATGGTGACAGCAAACTTTATTGTCTAGTCACTGTCTACACAGTCACTCAAGAAGACAACCATCAGCATCAGAAGACCTCCAGGTCATTCGAGTTGTAAACTACAGGAGCTTCCTCTGTGCCCAGTGCAGGCCCTGGCTGCTCCTCATCCCATCCTCCCGTGAAAAACACATCTTTCGTGTCACTGGTAAACGTTTCCTGAGAAACACCATCATGCTCCTGTAGGTTCAAAGTGCCAATTGCTTGCTTAATTTTCTTGGCTGTTAAGAATTTCTGCCATTGCTTGGCTACCTTCTTGTTAGCCTTCTTGTTGTTATGCTCTTTCTGGTTCTCTTCAAATAATAATTCCTTGCCATGATCATGAGAAATACTAGGAGTATTCTTCAGCAAGTTCAGATAAACCCCTCCAAGCATCTGCCTTCTACTGCCATCCATTGTGTAAAGACCTTTATTTTGTTCAATCATTGCAGTCTGTGACAGAAGCTTTATCACTTTCTCTGTGCCAATCACCTTCATGAGACACTCTATTAACTCCCTCTTTGGCTCCATTGACCTATGAGCTATTTCGTCAATCATTTTATCTTCAGGATTGTCCACCATGATCTCATAGGTCTTTAAGGTCCATCTCAACTTGAGGACCCAGACATTCCTTGACTGACTGCTTCCTCTTCAGATGGCTGTCACTTTTCTCTTCCAGTACTCCATGCTGCATGTATTCCTCTAGCTGTCCCTCCAGCATGGCCCTCATACCCTACTCTTCCTCATGTTTCTCTTTTTCCATCAGCTTATGTGCCAGCAAGTAGTTGTAGGTCTCACACTGGCGGCTGTCCATAGTGATGCCCCCCTCCATTTCCATGATGCCGAGCTCAGCCACGAGATCTTCCTGGCTTTGGTCCTGCACCACAGAGACCAGATGTTGTTTACTCTGAGGCATGGAGGTCCTCGACATTGGCAGTACTTTGGAAAGCAGTGGGAGGCACAGGCAGAGGAACATTGCACTTCTGATGCATTCACCTACACAAAACAGATAATTCCTCCTAGTCGCTGTTGCTGGAGTTGGTTACAATGGTTACAAAAACCTTTCTTAAAATCCATGGGAATGGAAACTATGTATGGAATAAGGACTGAAGGTAGGTCACTCAAAGTTAAACAAGTTAAGCAAAGAAAGGTTTTGTGCTGTGGAGAAAAGAGCCATTTCTGGGAAGGATGTCAAGAATCTGTGTCACAAAATTATTAGAATTTACACTCACCGGACACTTTATTGGGAAACCCTGTACACCTACTCATTCATGTAATTATCTCATCAGCCAGTCATGTGGCAGTAGTGCAATGCATAAGATCATCCAAGCAATTTTGAGTAATGTTCACATCAAACATCAGAATGGGGAAAAATGTGATCAGTGATTTTGACCATTTCATGATTGTTGGTGGCATACTGACAGGTTTTAGTATTTCTATAATTTCTGATTCTGCGATTTTCAGGCATAACAGTCTCTATAGTTTACTCAGAATGGTGCAATAAAGAAAAAATAACCAGTGATCAGCAGCAATTCTGTGGCTGGAAATGCCTTGTTGATGAGTGAGGTCAACAGAGAATAGCCAAATTGGTTCGAGCTGACAGAGAGGCTACAGTAACTCAGACAACCACTCTGTACAATTTCGGTGAGCAGAAAACTCAGAATGCATAGCACATCAAACCTTGAGGTGGATGGGCTACAACAGCAGATCACCACATCAGGTTCCACTCCTGTCTCCATTAACAAGAATGGAAGTGGGCACAGGATCACCAAACTGGACAGTTGAAGACTTGAAAAAAATAGTATGGTCTGATGAATTTTGATTTCTGCTGAGGCATACAAATGGTTGGGGCAACAGCAGGGTGGTGGCTTGGATCCATGGATCCAACCTACCTTGTGTCAACTGTCCAAGTTGGTGGAGGTGGTGAAATGGTGTGAGGAATGGTTTTTTGGCACACATTGGGTCTGTTAATTCCAATAAACCATTGTTTCTATGCCACAGCCTGTTTCAGTATCATGGCCACATCTTACCTTTGGCTACTTCCAGCACAATGTCACAAAGAAAAAAAATATCTCAAACATTGAAGAGAACAATGTTCTTCAGTGGCCTTCCCAGTCACCAGAGTTGAATCCAGTAGAATACCTTTGGGATGTGGTAGAATGGGAGATTCCATGCAGAAAAGGTCTTCTTAAAATCTGCAGAAATTGCATGATGCAATCATGTAAACATGGAACAGAATGTCAGTGAATATTTCCAACATCTTGTGGAATTCATGCCATGACATATTGAGGCTGTTTTGAGAGAATAAGAAGGCCCAACCCAGTATTACTATAGTGATCTGAATAAAGTGCTCAGTGAGTATTTTCCCCCAGTAAGATTGTCTTGCTAATCATGTTCTTACTAATTTTGTAGCCCTCATTGACTCTGGGATATTCCGAGACTTCAAAGATGAGGAAGTAGATAAATAATTTAAAATTCCCCTGGTTTCCTTGAAATGCCCACTTAACATTTATGCTCTGGGTTGGAGTCTCTTGGGAAAGGAAAGCATAACTCAAAGCACTGTCCCAATAAACATATTTACAGGAATCCTGCAAATCGTCTCTATTTCCTTCCTCATCAAAAAATCTTACAACTCCATAGAACTAGGCATCACCTGGCTGTTCGCAACCCTTCTATCTCCTGGAACAGTGGACGACCGATGACGTGAAGTTACCGTGCCATGTTTAATACCATAATGAACAACATAAATAAAAAGTCTATAGATTAGGCTCAGCATTTGGCCCTGCATTAATTACAGTAGTCTAAGCACCATTAAAGTATCAGTATCCCTTACAATTAGTACCATCAACCTTGGAACAGGTATGAGGGCCCATATCTTCACTAGCCTAAATGTACACAATGGATACAAACTCATCCAGATCAGAAGGGCAGATGAATGAAAAATGTCATTTATCAAAATGTCAGGCCACTATAAATATTTAGTTACATCCTATGTACTGCTCAGTGCCCCCTCCTTGTTTTGTCCTTTTTATATTAAGTGCTAAGTTCTAAAGCCATCATTCCTATATTATGTTCCTCCAAACAAGACTATACCTGTTAAAATATCATGAAAATATACCCACAAAGTACCCATGCACTTGTTACTTTTAAATTCCGCAAATAAAAATTCAGAGCTCCTGGCCATAAAAGTATCCTTAGAAGAATATGGGGTACTGGCAGGAAGAAGTAGATAATCCTTTCTTGTTTCTCACATACCACTGCAAACTAGAATATCCTAAAGTTTACATGGACAACAAAATCCCATATTAACCCGATTAAGAAAATACTATGATTAAGAAACTGCCATGCAAACAGTGATTATTGATTACCTTAATCTGAGTAAAGTCATAGTTGAAGTAAACACAAATCGAATCAAGACATGCGGAGTGTTTCTATTTTAATCACATTATCGAAGTGCATTATAGACATGTACACACCTTAATCACACTATTAACATTGTGTGGGATTTTTCACCGCACTTTGCAACAGGACACATACACACACGGCAATGCTCAACTGTTTGACTACAAACAAGAGAGCATGACTGCATCCGAAACCTGCTATATTGTAGCTATGTACAAGGTTTCCCATGCAGCCAATGACTTCAAGCAGTCATCTATTTGCTCGTATAGCATGACAAATAATTAACTGCACTTGAACCTTACATAAAATTAAAAATGAAACACCCAGAACTGTATATGGTACCATTACGAAGATAAACTGTATGTCGAAACGTTCTGGAGGGAACGTCGGACGTCGTGGCATAGGGATGTAATGATGTATGCCATTAATTGATCTATGTTCTATAACATGTAAAACAGGAACATGAAAAGAATATTCTAAGTGCAACTCATGTAAACACCTTAATCAGAATATTGTCTTATTCAGAATAAGGTCAATAATTATATTATTACTGTCCATGTAAACATAGTCTATGTGAAACCAACAAACAGACTGAATTCCTTACAAGCTTGATGCACTCTTTCACACAACTCAAGTTTATAATGACATACTGGCCTGAAAAACACAAAGAAAGTTGACCTTTTTGGAATCTATGATTCAACAAAAACATTGAACTTGAACAGACCATACGTCCACCCACTTGCATTCAAGCTCACATCCTGTTGGAAATCATGGAGGAAATCACTTAAGCTCAAAGAGAGGGACATAAATCCTTCATGCCTCAATCCATAAGGGCACAATTTATCCAAAGGGTTTATTACTTTATTAAGGCCAGATTGCCTTGACCCTTAGAACCCTCGAGCAGTTTTGGTTGTCCTCAATGAACAAGGATATCACATATCAATCACACACAGTCTGTGTACAAACTAGATCTTACTACCATCCATCCGCAGGATTCTACCTGTACCTGTACTACAACATATTTTATCCCATCACAACAAACTTCATAAGTGATCTGCAGTTTTACAAGAATTCCCCACCATACTCTTTATCATCA